ATAATGTCTCATTTAGAATGAAAAAACCATCAACTTATTTCCATCGATCAAGATAAATACAAGAATCTCCATCTATAGCAATGTAAATCTGGTCACGTAGCACATCATCTATTTGGCCTGAAATANAGCAAAAGTTAAAAGAGCAGCATAAAGATGACATAATGTCTCATTTAGAATGAAAAAACCATCAACTTATTTCCATCGATCAAGATAAATACAAGAATCTTCATCTATAGCAATGTAAATCTGGTCACGTAGCACATCATCTATTTGGCCTGAAATATACGATGGAAGTGAAAAAATAAGAACTGGAGCTAGTGCTGGTGAAGAAGCAATTCCACTTGTAGAAATACTGGATAACAAAATAGGAGGTTCTAGAATACCTCGATTAAGTAGTATGTCCTCCAAATAAAAATTTGGACTAATACTAACATTCAATGAAAAATTAAGTAAATAAGCATTAAATCCAAACTCGAGAATAGCAAAACAATTCTCATTAAGTTTCAGCAAAAAGTATTCAATGGGACAAGACATCAAAAACAAAGGAGTAACAATAATGCCTTGGTGCTGAACATAAGAAAGTACAGACTTAATTGAACGCTTGACAATAGGCAAAGAAACAAAGTTTACACTCTCAAGTGGAGCAGAATCTAGAACAATGTCAACAATCTCAGGTGAAGAAGAATTCATAACAATGCCATTATGATTTAGAATAGTAAACATAGAATAATTGCCAACAAATTCTAAAATAGATAGCTCAATATGTTCAACATCTTGCATAGGAACCAACTAAATGAATTTTTCTTTAAGTTCAATGATTAATGATGATTTAACTTTTGGCTCCGATGAGATAGAAAACATGATAGGACCAAAAATAATCTCATCACTAGTATCAATGTTCAAATGATTGAAAGTATATTTTAAAGGAAGGAAAGCATAAGTGTCCAACGAAATAGAAATATGACTATCATTATGCAGGTGTCCGACATTAGGTGAAACTAGAGATTTGTCCTTATTTTTTTTCCATTTGTTGACTTGCAAGAATTTTAGTCAAGTGGGAAAGTTGAGTTGTTAATTCAGATGGTTTTTCATCATTCTACACTCTTCACATAATTGGCCGAGTGAATGTTTAGTATTGGCAACTCCAATTTCAAAGATCTCAACTTTTTTCTCTAAGGCAGTTTGGGCTTTTGAATGGTCACTAATGTCATTGAAGATAGATCCAAATTGACATTAATGATGACTCTGGGAAGCATGACGTTAGTAATTGTTATGTAACCTAAGTGTCCTAGAGTAGTATTTTAGATAATCTTCATAATAAAACTCAAACTTACTATGGACTTTATGATGACTTCGAGAAACTCTAGGAGTGGAATAAGTGTAGTGATGACGTTGTGGAGAACTGTGAACTTGAGACATTCTTGATGTTGGATAAGTATATAAATAGGCATCATAATGATCATAAGAACTCATGATTGACTTTGAAAAATGAGAATAACATAAAAATGAGTTCAAGAATACAATTGATAATTACAAGAAGTGAGAAAACTTAAATAGAAGAAAATATGTTTTAAACCCTTTGCAAATTTTCTAATTTTCTAATGAATAAAAATAATAGTCTCAAATTTATATGGCAGTATGTATATCATAATCAAGAGAAAATTCTGAAACTATTTTGGGAATGATTTTGCAATTTCTAAAACTTGTAGGGTGATACTTCTATAATTTTCTAGAATTTATGGGAGTGCTTTTGCAATTTTTTGGATCTGCTGGAGATATTTCTCTAATTCTGGAATTTTTGGGGTATTTATGTAATTTTTGAATTTTTTGGGGTGATGTTTCTATAATTTTTTGAATCTTTTGGGGAGGTTTTTGCAATTTTAGAGTTTTAGATGGTATTTCTACAATTTGCTTAAATTTATGGGAATGATTCTGTAATTTTTTGGACCTTCTGGGGATGTTCCTGCAATTCTGAAACTTTCTAGGGTATTTTTGTAATTTTTGTGGGCTGTTTTTTTTAAGCACAAGAGGTAACGATGATCTTGAGTCTACAAGAGCAAAGGCAGCGATGAATAGTGCGTGAACAGTGTTACTGTGATTTCGACGAGTAGTTTTTTTTTTTTTTTGTGATTTGTATGAATCAAAGTTGGGCTCTGATACCAAATTGATATAGATTGTATTAGCTCCGATACCAAATTGATGTAGATCGTAGTAAGGAAGAATTAGGGATGAGAATGGAAGAAGAAAAGGATAAGAAAAGAAGAAGGGGATGAGGACAGAGAAAGAATTTGAAGAAGAAGGATTCAATATCAATAATCAATAATAATCAAAATCTAGTATAAATAAAACCCTTACATGCATCCCTTTAAATAGGAAACTAAAACCCTAAAACAAATAAACAATGACAAATAAACTCTCAAAAGTTAAAAGAAATTACTTAAAATATAAATACTAAAAATATCTAAATAACTATCATAATTAATATATAATATCTATCTAATTCTTACACGATCCCCATCGCATAATCTTCCACTTTTGGAGAGAAAAAGTCCTAGAGAAAAATACCCCAACTTAAACTCCCCTAGCCAAAATTTTATTGTTCTACATTTCTTTTACTTCCTTTCTACTTAGTGGGTTGAACCTCTCTCACTTTTTTGCCTTAGTTGGTAATGAAAATGAGAGTGTTTCAACTATTCCTTGGGGAAGGATTACTTACGTTTTTTTTTGTATTTATGTTGTATTATAATGAAATTTTCTTACTCTTCTTACTTGTCTATAGCAAAAAAGAGTGAGCAGTCCTTTTATACTCTTTAATAATGGGTGAAGACATGTGTAATATTGTTTAAGTAATAGAAATGCCGATATTTTATTTATGTCTTAATGTTTATACCTCCTTTAAAAGATGGATGGTTTTCATCTCTGTTTGATATCATATTACTATATACTTATGGTTACGAGTACCGAGTTAAATTTATTACTATATATCATTTCATCTATACATTATTATGTACTTCATCCATGATACAATGATACACGTAGTTGAGATTTATGTAATAATCGAGAGATTGGTTATAGACAAGTTAAGTCTTACTATAGTCAATACTTTTGATTCAATGCATAAACCAGAACTCCGTCTTCATTGAATCATAGACCTATCGATCAATTAGATATAGTAAACCTTTTGAATGGTTAACCTTCGGCTTTCCTAGGGTTAATTGGTTGTTGCAAGGTGCATAAACCTTACGGCTAACTTAACAATTGATGTGATATGGTTCAACTTATACATCAGACCTACCAATTAACTTTCCAATTACNCATTTTGAATGGTTAACCTTCGGCTTTCCTAGGGTTAATTGGTTGTTGCAAGGTGCATAAACCTTCCGGCTAACTTAACAGTTGATGTGATATGGTTCAACTTATACATCAGACCTACCAATTAACTTTCCAATTACNCTATACATTATTATGTACTTCATCCATGATACAATGATACACGTAGTTGGGATTTATGTAATAATCGAGAGATTGGTTATAGACAAGTTAAGTCTTACTATAGTCAATACTTTTGATTCAATGCATAAACCAGAACTCCGTCTTCATTGAATCATAGACCTATCGATCAATTAGATATAGTAAACCTTTTGAATGGTTAACCTTCGGCTTTCCTAGGGTTAATTGGTTGTTGCAAGGTGCATAAACCTTACGGCTAACTTAACAATTGATGTGATATGGTTCAACTTATACATCAGACCTACCAATTAACTTTCCAATTACATGGAGGTTAATTGCTGTAAGGTGATATTTTCATAATCTCAAGCAATAAAATGCATATTAGATCCCCGAACTAACGAGTGGCATTTTTCATTTGTTGTAATCAAAGTTCAAGTTAAGTATTTATTTATCCGTTTTAAGCTCGCAACACAAGCTGTTGTAATGCACACTACGTGCAGGGCAATCTTACCTTTTTTATTTTGAGTTCCAGCAGATAACTCCCCATGAATTCGACCTCAAACTTAACTGAATAATACTACAACTTGACCACTTATATTTTGGTGTACGATTAAGATCAAGTCAGTGATAATGAGTCTCTCATTCGAGACGGAGAGACAGAGAGAGTTTTGAAAATAAGTTTAGACCAAGGATCAAAATTTTGTGTCAATGCATAATTTTAGTGAGAACTGAAATGTTTCAGTAATGTTTCAAAAACATTTTTGAAACAAAAAAAAAATTTTAAAATTTATTTACGAAACATTTCAGAACACCTTAAAGTATATAAATTTTAATATTTAATCACTGATTCATTTCGATTTCCATGAAAATGAAAAATTTTCAGACTTTTCAACCGTTTCGAAACTAATTTATGTCCTTGGTTCAAATTGGGCCATTTTTTGCAACATGCTTGGTTTTGTCATTTGAAGAGTTTTTGATATATTAATAGGAAATTGGTCTTTTTCATCACACCGGTTACTTTCATCTCCTAATCATAACTAATAAGGGTAACAGTGTTATTTTTTTAATTTATGAATAAATCTTAGAGGTCTAAATGTAATTAATCCTCTTAACAATTATCACAATCACAAAATGAAATCCCAAAGCCGACTAACATGACAAACTAAGTCTTCACTAGGCATTACCTGGCCTCTTTAGTCTCTCTATGTTCCTTGTTTACGTGTTCAATTATTGTTTCTTTTCCTTCTGAATGTCTTCTTTTCCTTCGCTTTTTTTATTTCTACTCCTATCCAACTGGGTCAAATTCCACAAATACTAAATATGCAGCCAGCATAGATGATTTCCTTAAGTTTCAAAGGAAGTTTAACATGAATTAGAATGCAACTACAAAACTCACAGGTAGTTACCTTCAGAAAGCGACCCCTTCTATTCTCACCAATGTCGAAGTAAAATACCTGCAATCAAACACTATTATTAAGCACTCAACTTGAGCTACAAAAAACAATAATCTTAAATAAGGAATCACTAAGGGAAATCAATTGAAGAAGCACGGTTGCCTTCGTGTCGAGCTGGAGTTCCTTGCTGAAGACTTCCTGTTCATCAGAATTGACGTAGTAGTTGAAGAGATCCAAGAACCAGGAGATACCGTTGAAGGGCACGATGATGGTGGACCTGGTGGCTGACGTCTTCTCGGAGATTTTGAGGTATCTACCCCGTGGATTCTCCTTGAGGTCGAAGTAGAAAAGCTTATGCTCCACCTGTAACGTTTTACAGAGCAGCTCCACATCACCCCCTCCGCCGCCGCCGCCACCACCCGAATTCCCCTCCATCTCTTCTTACGACACACCAACTAAAGCGCCGAACCCAAAGCCTTGAGGCCCTAAATACGAATTTTTTCTCAGGTTACTTATAGACTGAGTAGTTGCCCCGCGAACCTCTTCAGCTGTATTATAGTAAAATAAACGGCAGCAGTCGGGAAACTAAGAATTTCAAAAGGGAGAGGCGGTGATGGTTGTGTACAAGGCAGATCTGGAAGAATTGTAGCTGCCTTTGGTGATGGTGGTGAGGACGGTGGAGCTAGCGGTGGCGGTAGTTTCCTTCTGCTATTTAGGTTTTGCGTGGGAAGAAGAGGCTTTGTTGTTTGACCGAGTCCCGTCTTCATTTAAAGCCTGCCTCGACTCGCCTTGCCTTGGCACCCCATTGCCCCCATGCTTCTCACTCCCCTAACAAAATCGCGTTTTTCACGCTTTCGTTGTAACAATTTCACTTCAGCTGTTCAGGTTCAACACTGGCAGTAATTTCCCACCCCCGTCGGTAACTCTGATTTCTTGCTTTTTTTAGTCCACCCCAACTAATGCCGTTACAGTGTCGCAGCACAGTGAAAAATGGCATTTGATTTCAAGAGGTACTGGTAAAAAAAAAATTCAAGAGGTAAAATGCAAAAGCACCCTCTCCGCCACTTGATTTTGCTAAAGAAACCAGATTTCACCAACCTTTTTTAAGTACCACACGGTGTTTGTTGATGCCAAATTTGATTAGTTTTTCATCATAAGCACTCGTGGACTTCTTGTGACATAGAAAGGAAGTTGGAGATTGGAGGGGGAGCTCTTCTGAAGGTCAATCCTCGGATGTAATTGGAAAAAAAAAAAAACGAAGCATGTAACAGGAAAAAATCGTGTGCCTCTAAATTGATGATTACATAGAAATTATGATGATGCACAAAATAAGCTATACACAATTAAATCAGTAGAATGTATGATACAAGATAATTAACGAGGCAATTAATAATAAAAGATAGAGATTGGATGGTTGGGCCTAAATAACCTAACCACTATGGTGGTCAGAGAAGTTTATTAATGAGAGAATAAAGTAATAGGTAAGAGACAGAGAGCCAAGAGTATGTGACGCCCCAAAATTCGGGAGTCCTTTCTCACCCATTGATCACCTGTCAATCTGCGAAAATACCTGTATGTCGTATAACCNTGCACAATTAAATCAGTAGAATGTATGATACAAGATAATTAACGAGGCAATTAATAATAAAAGATAGAGATTGGGTGGTTGGGCCTAAATAACCTAACCACTATGGTGGTCAGAGAAGTTTATTAATGAGAGAATAAAGTAATAGGTAAGAGACAAAGAGCCAAGAGTATGTGACGCCCCAAAATTCGGGAGTCTTTTCTCACCCATTGATCACCTGTCAATCTGCGAAAATACCTGTATGTCGTATAACCCAATACTACGTCATCACATCCCTTTCACTGGGATCGTTACCAACACAAAACTTGGGCATGGTCTCCCTTATACTAGAGCACTCACAAATGTATAACCTGTATACATATCAATCACTTGACCATTTCAAGGTTCAATCCCCATCAATTTACATTTAATATCGAATCAATTACACACTTTAAATAAGAAAGCTCATGGTCCGAAGGTTTGGCAAGTTATATTTAAATTTTTTAAAAAGTTTAAAAGAGGTATTGGTGCCCTCTTACATGCGGTACTGCTACCTGAGTCTTCTATCTTTCAGGTACCGGTACTTGAACCTTTATTTTTTTCAAGTTCCGTCCAGTTGCCAAGTACCGATACCTAGGTGGCGAGCTACTGGNAATTTAAAAGAGGTATTGATGCCCTCTTACATGCGGTACTGCTACCTGAGTCTTCTATCTTTCAGGTACCGGTACTTGAACCTTTATTTTTTCAAGTTCCGTCCAGTTGCCAAGTACCGATACCTAGGTGGCGAGCTACTGGTACCTAAGTCTACTGTTTAATAGGTACAAGTAACTACATGTCGTAGTACCAGTACCAGAGGCCACTGTCCATAGAGGTATCGGTACTTGAAGCCTTGGTACCGGTACTTTAGCTCACTGAAATCCAAGTACAAGTACACGTATGCCGAGATACCGGTACCTGGCTCATCCAATTGCATGGTACTGATACTTAATCACTTAGGTACTTGTACCTGGGCCTAGATTTTCCTCAATTCTTCTTAATCTTCTACCTATAGCCATCTAATCTCTTTCCAAACACATCCATACATTCATTAATACAAATTATAGTCTATAAGAGTCTATTTCAAACTCTTTACACAATTTACAAGTTCAAAATGAATTACACAATTTATTTACAAAATGTAATTCAAAGCCACATCTTGGCTTCTTTGTCAATAAGGGCCCGCATGAGGACTGTCCATCAACGCTNGGTACTTAATCACTTAGGTACTTGTACCTGGGCCTAGATTTTCCTCAATTCTTCTTAATCTTCTACCTATAACCATCTAATCTCTTTCCAAACACATCCATACATTCATTAATACAAATTATAGTCTATAAGAGTCTATTTCAAACTCTTTACACAATTTACAAGTTCAAAATGAATTACACAATTTATTTACAAAATGTAATTCAAAGCCACATCTTGGCTTCTTTGTCAATAAGGGCCCGCATGAGGGCTGTCCATCAACGCTTGTCCCGCGCCTAAAATGTTGTACCCATAAAGAATGAACCACGCTCAATAGGGTATCTTCTAAAGAGGCTACTCCCCAACCTAGATGCATATGAAATATTCATGTGCAATACAATAATCAAGCATTTATTCAAGAATATACAAGTCAATAATGAACGTCACAAATGTCATGTCATGTTATGAGGTAAGACTCACACATGCAATGCAACCTGAGCCCTTCACCGGCTCCAATAACATATGCAATGTCATGCGTATGCATCCGGGCATTCCAAGCCCCACCATTACTGTTGAACATCCAATGACCAATTTACAAAAAATCCTAGGTCTTTCTTGGGGTGGGTATTTATGGACTTCACCTAATTGACATGACATCTATGTACTTCCAGCAACAGCTCTGCGTACACTGTCACACTTTATGAAATCAATACAAAAATTCGGGTAAATTCAAACTTTTTCGAAAAAAAAGGGTAAAATGGTATTTTGTCACTATTATGCTGGTTTAAATGTATATTTTTATAGAGCTCGGATGGAACAACGAACTTCACTGTTGGATTCACATCGCGAAATCGAGCTGTCATATTTATTTTCGTCGAATTCTGAAATAGACAAATTTTTCATAATTTACGAAACGAATGGGTGATGAATGGATTTTTAAACATCCCTAAAAAATAAAAATTATAAAATTTCCTTATAATTGAATAAAAGTTCAAATAAAATTAATTTGAACTGAAACCGAAATTTAATTAAGTCGTTTTGGGTTAAAAATGGACCCAGAAGTGATAACGTGCGGGACAATGTGGACCGCGCAATTAAAAAGTATAAATAGGGTTTAATATCTGAAAATTCAAATATTTTGCTCACCCATTGACCGGCTGATTTAGGCGTTGAAGAGAGAAAAGAGAGAAATCCATTTTTTTTACCTTTCTTTTGAGATNGAAATCAATACAAAAATTCGGGTAAATTCAAACTTTTTCGAAAAAAAAGGGTAAAATAGTATTTTGTCACTATGATGCTGGTTTAAATGTATATTTTTATAGAGCTCGGATGGAACAACGAACTTCACTGTTGGATTCACATCGCGAAATCGAGCTGTCATATTAATTTTCGTCGAATTCTGAGATAGACAAATTTTGCATAATTTACGAAACGACTGGGTGATGAATGGATTTTTAAACATCCCTAAAAAATAAAAATTATAAAATTTCCTTATAATTGAATAAAAGTTCAAATAAAATTAATTTGAACTGAAACCGAAATTTAATTAAGTCGTTTTGGGTTAAAAATGGACCCAGAAGTGATAACGTGCGGGACAATGTGGACCGCGCAATTAAAAAGTATAAATAGGGTTTAATATCTGAAAATTCAAATATTTTGCTCACCCATTGACCGGCTGATTTAGGCGTTGAAGAGAGAAAAGAGAGAAATCCATTTTTTCTACCTTTCTTTTGAGATCCAAGAAGTTCCGTCGGTCGGAACCCTTCGGACCAAGAACTAAAGTTGGTCTACGCGATGAGAGCTACGCGTACGTACCAAGAACGACGGATTTCACTGAAAACCCAAAGAGGAGATTTTGGGGAAATCAAGTTTTGGAGCTTTGGTTGGTGTTCTTGAAGTTCTACCACTTCGTTTTACGCTCCAAGAGATAGGGGTTCTCCTACCTTAGTTCATTTCTTAACTAGGGTGCATATGGAAGGGGGTGGGTATGTAGAATATGTATACCACTTGTTTATAATTATGCAAATGAGGAAAAAAGGTGTAGAAATGGCTTAGGCGAACTTCTAGCTTGAATTCGATATGTGGGAGTTACTTGTGTAATCCCTTGAAAATTGGTTCNTAATTTTCGTCGAATTCTGAGATAGACAAATTTTGCATAATTTACGAAACGACTGGGTGATGAATGGATTTTTAAACATCCCTAAAAAATAAAAATTATAAAATTTCCTTATAATTGAATAAAAGTTCAAATAAAATTAATTTGAACTGAAACCGAAATTTAATTAAGTCGTTTTGGGTTAAAAATGGACCCAGAAGTGATAACGTGCGGGACAATGTGGACCGCGCAATTAAAAAGTATAAATAGGGTTTAATATCTGAAAATTCAAATATTTTGCTCACCCATTGACCGGCTGATTTAGGCGTTGAAGAGAGAAAAGAGAGAAATCCATTTTTTTTACCTTTCTTTTGAGATCCAAGAAGTTCCGTCGGTCGGAACCCTTCGGACCAAGAACTAAAGTTGGTCTACGCGATGAGAGCTACGCGTACGTACCAAGAACGACGAATTTCACTGAAAACCCAAAGAGGAGATTTTGGGGAAATCAAGTTTTGGAGCTTTGGTTGGTGTTCTTGAAGTTCTACCACTTCG